GTCATCACCCCACATCAGCATCCGCTGAGTGGCGTGGTAGTGGTCAACACCGGGGTGGCGGGCACTGTGGGGACAGCAGCGGTTGACCTGAGCGGTCAGCAAGGCGCAGCAGCCGGTCGATCGCATCACAGTCACAGTCATCATCATCACGGTGGAGGTGGTAGTGGCAGCAGAGATCACCACCACCATCACCACCATCATCACCACTCATCATCCTCTCACACGCCTCAGCAGACGCCCCCACCGCCTCCTCTTTCCGCCGCCTCCTATCACTACTACCAACAGCAGTCGCCACTGCCTCAGCAAACGCAACAGCAGCAAGTGCCACTTAGCCGGAGCCACTCGGGCAAAGGCCAAACTCAGCAGAATGGTTCTGTCCTGGTGAGCCTAGCAGCAGGACAACCGCAACAGCAGCAAACAGCAAAGGGCGTGACGATCAGCAGCGGCTCGGTGACGTACACCTCACGCGGGTCGACCGGTCAGGTGGCCAGTGCCACGCCCGGCACCGTGGTCACCTACACTGTCATGCGCCAGGGCGTCGGCCCGCCCTTGCGCACTCAACAGTCCGTCAATGTGCCTTTGTGCTCTTCAGACCTGCCGGAAGTCTCCACATCGACGACCTACAACGGCGTCACAATCATCGGTGGTGGAGGTGGTGGTGGTGGTGGAAGTGGTAGTGGTGCCGGTGCTGGTAGTACAGGTAGAGAGAGCAGCTCAGCAGCAGCAGTGCAAATGGACCTTCTCTCAGCGGAGACATTCGACGGTAGTGCCCTAGCAGCAGCAACAGGTGGTGACGGCGGTGACCGAGACCAGTCACCGCACCGTAGGGTAGAGCGCAGTCGCAGCGCCCCCTACTCAATGCTCTCAGCCACGTCGACGCCGGCACTGGGCGGACCTGGCGGCGGTGGTGGTGATCTGCTGGGGCCAGGAGGTGGTGGTGATGGTGACGGCGGCAGTGGTCCGGGCGGACCAGCGTACCGCAGCTCAATGCACCACTCCTCCTCGGCACGACGACACCACCGCAGCAGTGCTCGTGACGGTCACCACGTGTACAGCAGTGCCACACTGGGCGCCATGGGCCCGGGTGGCGGCAGCATCAGCAGAGGTCACGCCCGATCGAGCACTGCCGTGTACAGCTCCTTCAGCACCTCGCCACGCTCCAGTTCCAGTGGCAGTGGCAAAGGAGGCGGAGGAGGAGGACGCCGCAGACACGGCGACATGGGCCTCATTCTGGGCGGCAGTGCCGTCGTCCTCGGAGGCGTTGACCGAGCAGGAGGAGGAGGAGGAGCTGGTGGTGGTGGTGGCTTGAGCAGTCGCAGCAGCAGCTGCAGCTACAGCGGCTCACTGCACAGCGTCACCAGCAGCCTCAGCCTGAGCGGCTCCTGCAGTAGTGATGAACGAAGGGGAGGCGGCGGCGGCTCTAGGGTGATCATCACCACCACCGGAAGTGGACGACGGCGTTCTCAGCAGCAACAGCAGCAGCAACAACAAGCACACCACCGTCACCACCAGGGTCAGCCCTCGGCGGGCGGTGCCGGCCATCATCGGTCGCATCACCACCACCACCACCGCCACCACCACCGCTCCACCTCATCCTCTCGCAGACATGGAGGAGGGACAGGAGGAGGTGGGGCAGGAGGAGGTGCTCACCACCGAGCCCCCTCTTCCCATGGCGGTGGCGGGCATCACCGTCACCACCGTCACCACCACCACCACCATCACCACCGACACCCTTCGACCTCATCGGCTCAGCACCACCGCTCCAGCTCTCGACACCGTCAGCACGACTCCTCAGAGGAGAGACACGGCGGGGGCGGAGGTGGTGGCGGAGGTGGTGGTGGTGCTCGACACGGTCACCACCAGTCACAGCAAAGGCGGTCCTCTCACCACCGAACAGGTGGGGGCGGTGGCTCTGAAGTGCTTTGGGCGCCGGAAGAAGGCGGATCATCGTCTCACTATCGGCGACACTCACCTCGACCAGCAGCACCGCCGCCACCACCATCTCAAGCACTTCCCCTACAATCACCAGCAGCACTGCCGCTGTTAGGGGCAGCTGAGGATCAGCTGACAGTGCACCGTTCTCACTCTCGCTCTCGTCGGAGCTCCAGCCGCCTACAGGTAGAGCCTGATTTTGGTAAGTGAACTTCAAACAATAGAGTAGTTTTGAAGAAGGTAGTTTTGTGGTAGAAGAAGTGTAATGACTAGAAGTGGCTAGAAAAGGACTACTTGGCTAACAGTGGACCGTGTGTTGTGTCATATGTTTGCAGAGTACGGCGCCGTCAGTCCCTCTCAGCTGCACCTGCACCCTGACTCTGCCTCCTCTCCTGCTCACCACGCCCATCACCGTCGTCACTCCGCCTCAACGCATCACCATGACGGCCACCACCACCACCCGCACCACCATCACCACCGTCACCACACCTCTCGATCTCGATCACCCTCTGCTTCAGGAGGAGGAGGAGGAGGAGGGGGTCATCGCAATCAGACTGCCACAGGGGCCGCCCCCTCCTCTTCGGTGTCCCGACACGGGTCACACCGCTCCACCGGCAGTACCACCACCGCTCACCACTACCCCCAGCAAGTGCCTGCGCCTGAAGACAGAGACCTTCGACACAGTCATCACCATCGTCACCACCGACGTGAGAGTCCTGCAGCTGCTGCTGCTGCATCAACTGCCGCCCTTACCTCCACTGTTGCCTCCTCCTCGGTGGTGGCCACCTCCAGCTCGGGGGGCACCCCGGTGGTGGCCATCCTCAGTGGCGGCGGAGGCGGAGGCACGCCCTCAGGAAGTCGTCGGGGCACTGCCACCTCCATAGCCAACAATCCCCTGGTGCAGGGCTATCACCTGCTGACCGAGCAGACCACCCCCGGGGGCGGTGGCAGCAGAGTGTCCCACCACGAAACGATCATCTGACATGAGGCCTACCTCAATGACTGAACTGAAGGGAAACTGACTGACTCCAAATACCATCACCACAAACACCATCACCATCACCACGACACTTTCACTACCGTTCGACAACAGTTGACAGCACTGAATTGAGCACTCGGAATGAAAGTCATGAACCAAAACGACTTGAAACTTTTAAGCACTCTTTCCTCTTTTCACTCTGCTTCTCCTTGGCTTGTCCTTTGCTTACCGAAAGACTTTGTTTGCTGAGTTTTGAGCACTGAACTGAACTGGCACTTTTTGCCTTAACTGACTTGATGATGGGTATTCAGCAGCACTGAGCAGCACTGAAAGCAAACTGGAAAATGCTGAGGCAAACTTAATTGTTGTACACTGGACATTGGGCACAACCGCACACAACGGCGACATCACTGGACCACTTTAAGCGACACTCCACTTTTTCTTTTCATTTTGCAGTAACAGTTTGTTAACACACGATTTTCTTTTTCCTTTATGTGTGATTAATTTCAGCTTAAAGNCACGATTTTCTTTTTCCTTTATGTGTGATTAATTTCAGCTTAAGGTTAGGCAATTTTTTAGCTTGTTATTGCAAATTTTAATTTAATTCACAAACTTATTTGCAAATGTAGTGATAGTTTCCGGTTTCAATTTCAAACTTTTTTGTTTAAAAATATTTTATTTTATCGAAAAATTTAAAAAAGTGAGTGTTTACATGAACGCTAAATCAGTGTTTATTTAAATGGATTTTTTGTGCGCATTGACTAAAACAATGTATGATAAAAACAAAACTATTTAACTTTTCAAAGTTAAATTTTTTAAATTGTTGCTTTTTAGTCATCAAATCAAATAAACTAAATTTGTTTAGGCCAAACAAGTTTGTTTTGCTTTTATCAGCAAAACTAATTGATATTTTTTAAAATGAAAAAATTATGGCTTATTATCACCAAATGCGTTCATTTATAGTGTAGTCATTGCACAATTTTAACAATAAAATTATTTTTTAAAATTTTTTTGTTTTTTTAAAGCAATTAGCAATCAGCACACACACACACATAATGCCATTTTGTTTTTTTAATTGTGGTGTGCAAAAACTTTCTAGGATTTTCACTTATACACAACCTTGGATAAAACAATAAGTTTTTATTCATTTTATGAAACCAATTTAAATTTAATGTGTTTGCCCTTTTACTTTTGAGTGCCAGAACTTTTTTAGAAGCTTTTTAATAAACTTCACTTTTTTAACTTATTTGCTTTATTCACTTTGCCGTTTGCCTTTCTTTAACTATTATTTGCAAACTTTACCATTTTTCATATTTACACCCCTTACAAACAAAAAACAGTATGATTGTTTTTTAATAACTTTCTGATCTACTTTTGGTACAAAGATTTTTTTTGATTTATTGAAATTTAAATTTTTTTAACAGGTGTTTAATTTCATTACTTAATTTTTAGTTATTTTTAGTTGTCTTTTGTGCTTTTATTTGTGTGCTATTATGCAAACATGTTTTAAAGTATCTATTTTTATTTATCAAAACTAAGTTTTTAACTGTTGCGCATGAGTTTGTAAAAAACAATATTTATAAAACAGCTAAAAATATTTTTTATAATTATTAGTTTGAGCTAATCAATAACATCTATACTTTTTTTTGTTCATCATTGTTTTTTGAACATATAATGTTTAAAAACTATAAATTTTTTTTGCAACAGTTTTAAAATACAAAAACTTTTTTTATTATTAAAATTTAAAATAAAAACATTTTATGTTTTTAAATTTCAAAATGAAAATAAGTCAGAAATTATAATTACGTGTATTTCTTTTAATCCAATAACAATAAAAACAGGTTTTTATGTGGGTTTTAAATTGTATTATAAACTATTT